CCCAGGTGTCCCCACACTTCTCTTAGAGGATTCTCTTCTATATTCTTCATAGCCCTTGTGCTTAAACTACAGTGTGCCTGAGGCCTGTCTGTCTGTCTCCTTTTGACCATGAGTTCCTGTCCTGTCCTGTCCTCTCAGCACTATTAAAGCACCTGATATTTAGGAAATATTCATTGATTGGATGAATAAATGAAATGCTCATGCTATTTCCAACTGGCGGTATTGTAGCTGCTGTTCAAGGCTACCCAGAGGCACACAGAAAGAAAGGCCTGCAATCTATTTAAGAAGGGTCAGTCATTGCAAGCCCTATGAAGCATAGTTCTACTGTGACACGTAGGCATGGACAACTGGACAATTAAACACCAACTGGTGTTCTCTTCCAACCAGCTATTTCCAGAAACTTTTTTTTTTCTCCTTTAAGGGATGGGGGATGGTGGGTGACCTTTTAGAGGGATTTCCCAATCGTTTGTGAAGCCACTGGAGTTGAATTGTGCTGCACCTTTCCTTAATAGTTACAAGAGGAATTTAGATTAGGCATTCAAGGGCTATTCCTTGTGTTGCAAGACTGCAGTAATAACTAAGGGAAGTAAACAATCTTTTTGGCAATTTGGGGTTGACCAATATTTTGGAGTTTAATTTTTTGATAGGAAGTAGCCCCTTCACTTCTCTTCCAGGCCTTGGATTCTGTAGTTGTCTGTCCATTTCCCACCCATAGGGACAGTGAGTGGGCAGGAGACCAGAGAATTTGTGCAAATACAATGCAATGTGTTCTGTGCAAGAGTTTCCAAAAAGTAAATATTTTGAGGTTTTAAAAAGTATTACATACACTGTTGTAAATGCTGGAGATCCTGGAAAAGGAAGAAAAGGAGGAAAATAATATTTAATATGTATACATACATTTATGTTGTTGTTAAGTGCTGTCAAGTTGGTTTCAACTTCCTGTATGGGGTTTCCAATATACATATATATGGAGTATTGGTATGGCACTGTGGGTTAATGTCCTAGACTGTAAGGTCAATTTGAACTGCAAAGTCAGAGGTTCAAGCTCACCAGCTGCTCCTGGAAAATGTTATTCAGGGTCGCTATGAGTTGGAACCGACTCCAAGGCACATAACCACCACTTGGTGGTTATGTGCCTTGGAGTCGGTTCCAACTCATAGCGACCCTGAATAGAGTTTGTGAGGCTGTAAATCTTTTTTCAGGAGCAGAAAGCCTCATCTTTCTTCCACGGAACGCTGCTAATTTCGAACTGCTGACCTTGAGATTAGCCGCCTGACTCATAACCACTGTGCCACCAGAGTCCTGGTATAGCACTATAGGACAAGCATTAAACCACTAAATGCAAGGTTAACAATTGAGCCCACCAGCTGCTCCTCAGAAACTAGATACAGGAATTAACTCTATGGCACTTAATATCAACAAATATAGAACATATTCCTTATTGTTAAGTGCATCTAGTCATCCAACTCATAGTGACCCTCTGTCAGTTTTCCAAGGCCGTAAATCTGTACAGAAGTAGAAAGCCTCATCTCTCTCCCACAGAGAGGCTGGCATGTTCCATTGTGGGTAGCAGTCTACTGATTATCCTACTGAAAATCTATATTCAGTCATAAATGTGTGTATGTGTGTAGTCCTGCTGTGGTGCTATAGGATAAAGCACTGGACTACAAGGCCAGTTTGAACCACAGGGTCAGTGGTTCAAACTCATCAGCCGCTCTTTGGAAATCCTATACAGGGTTGTTATGAGTTTGAACTGACTCAACAACACTTTACAACCAGTATAGACAGAGAGAGAGAGACCTGGTGTTGCATTGTATATATGGAGTCCTGGTGTGGTGCTATAGAATAAGCTCTGGACCACAAGGTCGATTTCAACTGCAAGGTCAGCAGTTCAAATCTGCCATGCTCCTTGAAAGCCCTATAGAGAGTTGCAACCAACTGCACTTAACAACAATCTCTCTCTCTCTCTCTCTCTCTCTCTCTCTCTCTCTCTCTCTCTCTCTCTATCTATATATATATATATATATATCGTTGCCACGCAATTCATAGGAACCGGTATAGGGTTTCTAATGAGCAGCTGATGGGCTTGAACTGCCAGATTTCAGGTTAGCAGTCCAGTGCTTATCCTACAAGGTCACACCAGGACTCTTATTTCGCTCTCTCGCTATGAGTCGGTACCTCACTCGATGGCACCTAACAACAACAACTCTTTCATAAATTCAGGTACAGTCCTGCTGTGGCACTCTACACTATAGGATAAACACCACTGAACCAGTAGTTCAAACCCACCAGCCACTCCTTGGAAACCCTATACAGTATGGCTATGAGTCAGAAACCACTCCGTGGCACTTAAAAACAGGATATGTATATATATATTAATATATATAACTGTTCCGCGGGAGAAAGACGAGGCTTTCTGCTCCCGTAAAGATTTGCAGCCTCGGAAACCCTGTGCAGGGTCACTATGAGTCGAAGCCGACTCCACGGTACTTAACAACAACAAATATATAGAGATAGATATATGACAGCGAGGTAACAGATGAATTGGGTCTCTTGCAAATTCCTGAATGGGGAAATGTTACAGATTCCCATTCCTCAAGCAATAACTTCTAAAGAGCAACAACAACAAAAGTCATGTGAGCAGGAGAAAGGGAGAAAAAAAACAACAAAAAAACACACCCTCTGTGCAGCAGGAAGTCTTCAATGGTTATCCAGTTATGAAGAAACAAATCGGAACAGAAATCCTTATTCGGAGCGCTAAACTCGGTATTACTACATAAAGAGCAATATTAAAAAGCTCAGGCAGCCTCCTAGTGATGTTGGGAAACATCTCGGCTTCCCCTTGCGAGAAAACAAACAAGCTTCGAAGGGTAGCAGTCCAGACCTGTGTTACGGTGGTTTTGTTTTTGTTTTTTTGGCAAGTCAGTGAGTCAAATGGACGACCCGAAAGTTGTGCAGTTCTGGGAAGCAAGGTTAATATTATCCTTCAGTGGTGAAACCCTGAGCTGCTAATGGGCAGGTCGGTGGTTCGAACCCACACTGAGAGAGACAAATGTGGCAGTCGGCTTCGGTTAGGGCCTTGGAAACCGTTCTGAGGAAGTTCTACTCTGTCCTATCGGGTTGCTATGAGGCCCTATCACTGGAGGGCAATGGTTTTTTGGGGGATTGCCCCAGCGAACAATTTTACTGAAAAGCCAGTCCCCGCCGCGTGCGCGCGCGCGCGAACAGTGCCATACGGGACATGCAGCTACGTGCCCACCTCCAGAACGACTTTATTTACAAAGCGATTACCATGTTATCTATTTGTTTTCCTTTTCCAGAAACAGCAGCCTTCTTCAGCCCTTGAATTTCTTAATTACAAATCCATTCGCTTCTAAATCAACCCCAAACCGTCAGGCAGAGCCCGGAGGGAGGCTGTGCAAGTTTGCACACACCCCCACCTCCCGGATCAAGGGCAACAGCAGAAGCAAGAAACTGTATGTGCAAAAAGGTGGATCTGGGGACGAGGATCGCTGAGTTTGTTTACAGAGCAGAGACGCCTCAGCTCGGATGCCAAAGCTACCAAGAGCAGCAAACGCAAACTTAGCAGAAGCACACGTACCCGGGGAGCGGCGGCAGGTCCCAAAGTGCGGATTGGATCAGCGGGAGTGGGCCTGGGGCGGCCGGGCGCGCGAGCGCGCTCCGTCCACCTGCAGCCGCCTCTGCTCCCCGCCCCCAGCCCCTGTCCTTGAAAGGAGTGGAAAAAAATGCATCTGCACTCAGCAGCTCGAGATGTGTTTACAGGCTGCACCCCCCCTACACAAAGGCACGGCCCAGGAGAGCGCGCTCGGGGGAGGGGGCGAGATGTGTCCCGGGAAGCACAGCCCGTCTGCGCAGCCCGGGAGGGCGTCTGCAAAACCGGGGTGCAGGACACTTTAGAGGGCTGGGGCGTCAAGCGAACCCCCTTAATCCTATAGAGCGCACACCAAACCGCTAGGTGAAACGGGTGGACGAGCTGGGGATGGGAATCGGCCGTAGGGGCCGGCGAATTTGCCTCGCTCTTCTCCGGGCAAACGCCACCCTCGGGCTGCGGGAACAGGGAAGATTGTCCCCCTCCGGGGGCGGCATGGACGACCCCACGTTTCTGAACCGCAAGGAAACAAGAGGGGGCGGGGCAGCCGCAGCCTCTGCGCACGTGCCGCCGGCCGCGGGGCCGCGGCTCCAGAACCCAGTCCAGAGTGCCGAAACTCCAAAATCCGTGTGTTGGTGCTCACCGATAGGGGAGGCTCTCGCTCCGCCCTTCCTAAAGGCTTATATTAACTGTGGCCAAAGCCCGAAGAAACACAGCTCATTGTTGGCAGATGCCGGGCGGCCTCGCAGAGCTGTGAGGGCAGCGGAGGGGAAATAAAAGGGAACGGCTCCATTCCTGCACCAGCGGCCGCTGCGAGACCTAGGAGCCGAACTCGCGCCCGCGAGCGCCCCGCACGCCCGGAAGGTCCCCTCTATGTGCTGCTGAGCCGGCCCTGGACCCGACGATCCCGCCCTCGGTCTTCGGAGCAGAAATCGCAAAGACGGAAGGTGAGCGCGGCGGGCGAAGCCGGCGGGGCTGCTGGCAGCGCCGTCCTCCGAGGGCAGGGTTTGCCCGGAGGAAGAGCGTGAGGCGGAGCTGGGGAATAACAACAGGATGTGTAACAACAGGATGAGGAGGCTGGTTTAATGTCTCAAGTTCGCAGCCGGCTCCGGGGCACTTCCTTTATTAGGCCACTTCGGGGAGCAGAGGGGGTGTGGGCCGGGTCCCCCAGCCTGATCGCAGGGGAAGGGGCTGTGTGTGTGCAGCGTCCGGCCCGGGGAGGGTGGCAGGTCCGCTGTGGTTGCGAATCCCGGTGCACAGTCGAGTGGATTCCCGGAGACGTGCGCGCGGGGAGTCTGGGGGACAGAAGCGAGAAAAAAGTGGGGTGCGCTGTGGTGGGCGACACGTGTGGCGCCGTGCTTATCGTCTGCTCCTTTCACTTCCAGGACTGGAAATGGCAGACCATATGATGGCCATGAACCACGGGCGCTTCCCCGACGGCACCAACGGGCTGCACCACCACCCTGCCCACCGCATGGGCATGGGGCAGTTCCCGAGCCCCCACCACCACCAGCAGCAGCAGCCCCAACACGCCTTCAACGCCCTCATGGGCGAGCACATACACTACGGTGCGGGGAACCTGAATGCCACCAGCGGCATCAGGCACGCCATGGGGCCAGGGACTGTGAATGGAGGGCACCCCCCGAGCGCGCTGGCCCCCGCGGCCCGGTTTAACAACTCCCAGTTCATGGGCCCCCCGGTGGCCAGCCAGGGAGGCTCCCTGCCGGCCAGCATGCAGCTGCAAAAGCTCAACAACCAGTATTTCAACCACCACCCCTACCCCCACAACCACTACATGCCGGATTTGCACCCTGCTGCAGGCCACCAGATGAACGGTACAAATCAGCACTTCCGAGATTGCAACCCCAAGCACAGCGGCAGCAGCAGCACCCCCGGCGGCTCGGGCGGCAGCAGCACCCCTGGCGGCTCCGGCGGCACCTCGGGCGGCGCGGGCAGCAGCAATAGCGGCGGCGGCAGCGGCAGCAACATGCCCGCCTCCGTGGCCCACGTCCCTGCTGCAATGCTGCCGCCCAATGTCATAGACACTGATTTCATCGACGAGGAAGTGCTCATGTCGTTAGTGATAGAAATGGGTTTGGACCGCATCAAGGAGCTGCCCGAACTCTGGCTGGGGCAAAACGAGTTTGATTTTATGACGGACTTCGTGTGCAAACAGCAGCCCAGCAGAGTAAGCTGTTGACTCGTTCGAAAAGCCCGGCGAAAAAAATCAAACCCCTCACTTCTTCAGTGTGAATTAAAAAAAAAAAAAAAAAAAAAAAAAAAAAAACCCCACAAAAAAACATTCCCTTAGACACAGTATCTCGCTTTTCAGATCTTGAAAGGTTTGAGAACTTGGAAACAAAGTAAACTATAAACTTGTACAAATTGGTTTAAAAAAATTGCTGCCACTTTTTTTTTTTTTTTCCCCTCCCCAGTTTTTGTTTCGTTTTTGTAGCCTTGACATTCACCTCCCTTATGTAGTTGAAATATCTAGCTAATTTGGTCTTTTTTGTTGTTGTTCTTTGTTTTGACTCCTTCCTCACTTTCTCCAGTGCTCAACTGTTAGATATTAATCTTGGCAAACTGCTTAATCTTGTGGATTTTGTAGATGGTTTCACATGACTGAACTGCATTCAGATTTACGAGTGAAAGGCAAAATTGCATTAGTTGGTTGCATGAACTTTGAAGGGCAGATATTAACTGCACAAACTCTGCCATCTCGCTTCATTTTTTTTAACTATGCATTTGAGTACAGACTAATTTTTAAAATATGCTAAACTGGAAGATTAAACAGATGTGGGCCAAACCGTTCTGGATCAGAAAAAGTCATACTGTTCACTTTAAAGTTGGCTCCCCCTTCCCCCCTCCCCCATATGTACAGACAATAATGGGGTGTGGAATGTCGTCAGTGGCAAACATTTCACAGATTTTTATTTTGTTTCTGTCTTCAACATTTTTGACACTGTGCTAATAGTTATATTCAGTACATGAAAAGATACTACTGTGTTGAAAGCTTTTTAGGAAATTTTGACAGTATTTTTGTACAAAACATTTTTTTGAAAAAATACTTGTTAATTTATTCTATTTTAATTTGCCAATGTCAATAAAAAGTTAAGAAATACTTGTTTTCTAGAAGTCATTGTGGGGGTTCTTTGGGTGGCTTTTGTTTTTGGTTTTTGCCTCCTTTAAGTGGAACACTTGATGAGAGTAAGCATTCCGAAGGATAAATTACAGGACATGAAAACAGGTCATGATGAGCTTAAGCCAAGAACAGGATTTAGCATAATTGGCATAATTCTTCATTGTTATCATTGTAACATGCCTCTTGGTGGGGTTTAATGAAAAGCTGCAAAGTTGTCAAAGAGCAGCCCCCCACCCAATTGCCATCATATTCAAGTTATAAAGGTTTGTAATAGTAACTATTATAAATACCTTTTTTTCTGTGAGAGGGTGGGCAGGGGAGGATCAAGTGTTTCTAGTGGTAATTGATTTAAGTACTGAAATGGAGGTAGGTTGGAATAATATACTGGGTGATTGATGAGGGTGGCATTAAGTATAAGTCCACCTTTATCTCTTAGTGACTGAATCTTATTTCTTAGCAAAGATGCTAAGGCAAGGCCCACATTTTCAAGCTTAATCTCTGAAATAGCATCTGACTGGTTTATAGTTCTGAGAGGAAGAGGGGGCGGAATTCCACCTTGAGGCTTGCTATTTTGTTCTATAATATTTAGAATTTACTCAGCAAGGTTGATTCAAAGGTCAAATTACAATCATCACAAGATGTTCCTTCGCAAGCATGCCCTGTTTTCCAGAATCCTAAGCTTTTTTTTCTGTGACATCCATTGGGACCAGAGCACATAAGGATAAGATCATTTTCATTTTACCTAGATGAGTTACCAAGATGGTAACTCCAGTTAAGTGGGTGTCAAGTTTTGTCTTATATAATCAAGTGAAGGAAAAGGTAATATTGTTAAAATCTCAAATGATCCCAATTGGAAAGAGAAGGAATTTTATTTTGCTTTCTCTGTCATGTTTTCCTGACTTACCTTGTTTATAAGAGCAGTATACCTACTTTCAAGAAAAAATAGGGACTCTTACTTAACCTCCTGGGATAAGTAAAGAAGTAGAGGTTGAGGAAAATCTTTCAAATAGTACTTTAAAACAGCATTGCCTTTGGACTCTTAAGATTCTTATCTTAACTCATATTTCATAATAATAATAATAAAATCCAGGAGGGGAGGGTGTGTGGAGGTATTATATTACAGTGAATCTGGCATAAAGGCTGATTTCAATCTCATTCCGATCACCTACGTTCTATAATTCCATCTCTAAGGAAGGCCATGCAAGATTAAGATGTACACTCTGGGTTGTTTTTTTTATACCTCTCTAATTGACATTTCCTTAGTAAACATTGTGTCCTAAATAAATCATTTCTTCATGACTATACCAAATCATTCTAAACTCCTTTTTCAAAGTGAATGCAGATTTCCCACATTAATAGTTAAAGCTGAAGTTTTCTTCTGCTAAAACATGTCAATACTGAATCTGAAATCAGCAGTGAATCTTCCTGGGTAAGCATTTTCACAATAAGTTTTTCTTTTCTTTTCCTTTTTATTTCCCCCCACCTCCCCCCCGGAGGCTCAAGTGAAAAAATATGTTTGCATACATATTAATACAGCAATTCTAATTATTCTTCATTTGTGCCAGGACAAAAAGAAAGAAAGAAAGCTATTGGAGGCATTGTGTGTGTGTGTTGTTTTTTGCATAAAGAAGCAAAAGGATTGTGTTGTCACTACCCTTCACCATTGATTCTGCCAGGGAATAAGCCACAACACCTGCTCTGTCACTAAATTCCTCTTACTGCTCCAACACCGGAACACGTATGTGGAGATGCAGAGCCCATGGAACTATTATTAGATCCTGAGCCAGTCCCTGCCAGCACAGAGGGCTCAAACAGAGAAGCTGGGTTAAATGCACAATTTCTCTTCAGTAAAACTGCAAACATGCCCTGCCTCCCCCCTCTCCCCCGCCCATTCTCTTGAATGATCTTTATTTCATTAAAACTCTGTCTTGATCAACAACTGAGTAGACTCTGTGAAATCTGCAGGGCTCTTAAGCAGAGAAAAATAAGTCCTTGTTTGAACAACCTGCTTAATGAAACCTGTACAGTGACCTAGATCACCAGGCTACTGGCAGACATTTGCAAAACCTTTTGTGGTCTTTCTTCCTACTAAGTTGCTTATAGCATATGGGGAAATTTGACCTCTGTACCTTGGCTGTTTTTCAAAAAGTTCTAAAATGGTACAAGAGAGCTTCTGTTCTTTAAGCTTTGCCCACAAATAGACACTCTCTACTTGATTTTCAAGAAGATATCAGTGATAAGCAGCAGCACAACATCATAGATCCATACCAGAGAAACAAGTACACATTAGTATAAAGAGTACCTCTGCCTTGTGGCTGATAAAACCCTGGTGGCAGTATCTTTGCTGGAGCTGATAAAGACGTTACAGCTATGGATGGGTCTTTGAAAAACAGTTCTCTAATCACCGCTGTTTATGGGGTGCTAGGCTAGAGCACTAGTACCAGAAGGCTGACATCTATTGTGAAGTTTATGGTCTCCGTGACTTTTACTACTGTAAACGCCTGGGATAGCTATAAATTGACGTCAACATTAAAGGCCAGATCCTTTAGAGCAAAATATGAATCCACTAATCTATTATGGGTGGCCAGCTCTGAAATATAAACCCAGCAGTCCCAGACCATTAGGTGTTTTCGCCCCCTTGTGGAATTTATTTAGAAGGTCAAAGGAAAGCTTTTTCCTCAAGAGGGTTTTTATTTTATTGCTTGCTTGTTTATTTGCTTTCTTTTGCTGTTTCTGAAGACTTCATCTTCTTTATTGAAGCAAATAGCATATGTTTGAGCAACACATTTTTTATCAAAGAGGATTCCAGAACAAATGCCCTTTATGATAATAAGAGTATCTTACCAATGGCCTAAATCTATGATTAGGTGTGCATATTGAGATTTGCCTTCTATTATAAAATATGTATTGACTCAGCATTTTTCTTGTTAAAAGTAAGAAACAATTTGGACCAGTGCTGCGGGATGCCATCAACAGGATTGTTGATTTGAAATAAGAGTACATAATAATGCATTTGATGGTATGCAGTAAGTTGGGAAGGTAGAGGTAAATGTCCAGGAATGCAGGATGCAATTATTTAGGCTGGAATGTGACCAGGCCACTGACTCTAATCTTGTGAGAAAGGCTACTCGGTCTTTAAGGAGAATGAAGGCTACTGTCTAGCTGATTTGGCAAGATTGACTTTCAAAGAAATCTAGCAGCTAACACTGTGTCAAACAAAACAAAATCATAGAATTATGATTCATGGAATTTAGGATCCAAGCATTGGCTTTTTTTCCCCCCCTTACCAATGGTATTGTTTTGTTAGTGTAAGTGTTACACATAGCTTCAAAGATGGTATTTATCATCTTAGTACTGAACTACTGTCATCAAAGTCAGAGCACCCAGACCGGTTAAAGGCAGCACCTCAAATGGCTTAGCCAATGAGCCCCTGTTATCATGTGTTCTGGTTGTCTTTTCCCCCCAGAATAGAAGCTATGTCAGAATTTTAATTGCAATGGACTGGCTAAATTATTTGACCTATTTTTACTCAGCAAGGAGAGAAACGATTATTTTGCCTGGTAGTCATACTTAAAATTTAGAGTGTAAACAGAAATGTAAGGATGTTTTTCATCAAATAGTGTATTGTTCGTAGTTTTCGTTTGCCTTATAGTAAATAAGACCCACTTATATCTTTGAAAAATTCAAGACACCTGGAAAAAAGAACACTTTCTCCCATAGGAGAATATTACACTCATAACTTATACTAAATAATTCACTTAAAATGTTCAAAGAGGAGCTGTTGGCATGAATTTCTGTAGTATCTTGTTATTTATAAACACAATGAAAGAAAAACTAAAGGGAGTAAGAATCTGTGGTGGAGAAACTGAATCCCCAGTCCTTGAGAAAGAGAGTATAAGAGCAACCCTTTCATACTTTCTGGAGACAAATAATGGCTTTTTAATGGCTAGATCCTAGTCAATTATTTCCTTCCCCAAGAGCAGCACTAAATGTGGTCTAGGCCAACCCCAGGAGATGGTTGGTGGTACTTTAGGTGAATTCAGCTTGGTTAAACCAGG